GCTTTAAAAATTTTATGCTACGCATTGTAATTTGAGCTCAACTTTAATATTTTGCAAGCTTTTGATACAGTAAGAAATTCGAAATCCTAAAAAATGCTAAACATTTAAAATTGCTTCTCACTAGTCAGGTTGATTTGAAATTCAGAAATTTTGGAAATGCAGACGAAATCTAGCTTTTTGACATTGAATGAGTAAACTTTAGTGGAAGTTTTGAAACCGAAAAAAAATTTCAAAAAAATCCCTTGCTCAAATTGAAACTATATATTGAAAAGTTTTGAAATTGGACAATAATGAAATTTATATGCCTCCAAAGTTTGTGAAAGTGCCGAGCAAAGAGGTATGGTAGAAAGGGAAATGTGTAAACACCGCTACGCAAAAATGCACAACCTAGCTTCACTAGGAAGGTTTTAGAAAAGGAATGTTCTATGAAATACGTTGAGTATAGTCGGAAACATTTTTTTCTAAAATTCAAAAAAAATGAAAAAAAAACTTCAAAAACATTTTATTCAAAAAACTCAGCTTCTTCGATTTGGGAGATCAACTGTATTGAACATCGCTTAATTTTACACATTATTAGAAATGTTAACATTTTGAAAATAATGTTAAATAATGTAATCTAAAAAGGAAGAAGGCAAAAACCAGTGGTTTGAAACACTAAGAAAGTTACCATAAAAACTTTAGTAGAGCGACCCTCTAACTTTGAGCCAATTTATCTCGATTCCTGTAAAAACTATGAAAAAGTGGATAACAGACGAAATTTTACTGATAATATGATGAAAATTTTATCAGTGGACCACTTTTTTTATATCTTTTTCAGGAACCGAGATAAATTGGCTCAAAGTTGAAAGTCGTTTTATTCACGCCTAATTAAGAAAAACGCGCCGAAGGCGCGCCAGTCAGGCTAGTTTAAATAATCGATTAGTTTAGTATAGATTCGCGTGAGATTAAAATGAAGAATTTCTAAAAAAGGAATAAAAGGTATATGAAACGGAAAAAAAGTTTATGTCCCAAGAATTGGGACCCATAAGTAACCTTTTCGAATGAATAACAGATGTTCCTTCACTAGTTTTCTCTAACCCACTCTCCTCGTTTCACATACTCTCTAACTTTCCCCAAAGTAAAGATCACGGGTCATCTACCGGTCTAGAAGACCAAAACACATAGAAATAGACACATAGATAGTAGTATATCCAATTCTTGATGACTAAGAAGAAATCAGAAAAAAAAAGAGAAACTGATGTGATGATCAGTTTATCAAAGAAGTCGATTTTTGAGACCAAATCGTGTCTTGTGTCTCTTCAAATCCCGATTGTGACAGTTGATTGCGAGGGAACGCCCTTTTTGGGATAAGAAACCAATTTTTTAGGGTTGAGAAGTCTTTAAAGAAGCTGAAGGCTGAGCAATATGGTAGCAAGAATTAATGTTTCAAGATTTTTGTTTGAGGATGGTTTTGTTATTACGAGGTTATTCAATGAAGCACATGAGTGTAAGAGAATTTCGTAAATCGTAATTTTGAAAAATTAGTTTCTTGGGGAATTTTGTCTATTGTCAATTAAAAAAGATTGCACCGGTGAACACACAAACAAACAAGTAAAAAGGGGGCGGAGCGATCCGCCCCTTTTCGCAAAGGCGCCGCGCAGTTTTTCGACGGTATTTTAGCGATACCGTTTTTTGGTAATGTTTCATCGAATTTCTTCCGAATTGAAGGAAATTCGTCGATTTTGTGAAGCAATATATAACTTTGTTTTAATAAAAACTGAGAAACACAATTGGGAAACACTATTCTTTGATTCAGGGTGAAAATGAAAAGAGCAAGACCATGTGACGTATCGAATCCTGCAATGATGAAAATAGGAAGTAGGAAAGCTTCGAGATCACATAAAACATAAATTATTATTGTAAAGTTACCTGAAAACCTGAAAAACTCGATCCGAGAAGTATTTAGAGTAATTTGTCGACTAACCGCAGATTATTCAACACTTCTTCATAGTTATGATACCAGAAGGCGATTTTTCTTATTAGATGATGGATGAATTAGAAAAAAATTGACGAATTTCCTTCAATTCGGAAGAAATTCGATGAAACATTACCGAAAAACGGTATCGCTAAAATACCGTCGAAAAACTGCGCGGCGCCTTTGCGAAAAGGGGCGGATCGCTCCGCCCCCTTGTTTACTTGTTTGTTTGTGTGTTCACCGGTGCGATCTTTTTGAATTGACAATAACTAAATGTAAGCAAATTTTAAAATGTATAACCTCTTTTTGCCATGGAAATTTGAGGTTTGGCGGGAAATGAAATTTATTTCAGTTTAATAGAATTAAAAGATTTTCGGATTTTTTGAAAACAACGGAAACAAAGGTTCCAGTTAAATTCGGAAAATAATAATTTTGAAATAGAATTTTTTTTAACTATTTGAATTTTAGAAACTAATAATGTAATTTTGGTCGAACTGTCTTGGAATAACAAAAAATTATAAAATTACAAAAGTCATAATTTTGAAACAGTGATTTTTTTGAAAATTAGTTCTGAGAAATTAATCTTCAAGACCCTTTTCGAATACTTTCCTAATGATGATCGAGAGAATTCAGGTTTTCGTGGGAATTCAATTTTTCAAAGAAATGATTCTTTAAATTAGATGGAACAATTAAAACATTTCAGAAACAAAGAGTTTTCACAGACTCAAAAAAGCTTGAGAATTAAGAAAAGATAAAATTGCAAAAGTCATGAATTTGAAAACTTAATTATTACTGAAAAAAAAGAAACCGAATTACATAATCCTACTTGAATTCCAAAAATCATAATTTTGAAAAATTGAATTAATGACTAAAAAAAGTAAGAAAATTTAGGTTTTGGTGGGAATTCAAATTTTAAGAATATTTTTCGAGAAATCGAGAATTTTCATATTTAGCGAAATTTCAATAATTTGTATTTCGAAATTTAATAAAACGCATGAAAATTCATAGAAAATTAAGAATTTTTGCGATACCCTAAAATCGTAATGAAGAAAAATGATAAAATTAAAAAAATCTTGACTGTGAAACAGTGATTTTTTGGAATTCTCAAAAAACGACTGATAGGAAAATTGATTACAGATTAATTAAATATCCTCTGATTTGATGAGAGGTAAAATTTTTAAAACATTCAGCAGCACTTAAAGACCTAACAAATTACATGATTCAGAATCTTGTAAATCCTGAATTTGAAGTAGTGTTTTTTTTTAAACATAAAGAATGGAAATTAATTCATGACTAATCAAATGTTTAGATACTGAGAATCCAGAGAACAGCTCACAAGAAATCAAGGGATAACGACAAATTAAACAAGTTTGATTGTCATAAAACTGAAATAGTAATTTTTTTAAATTTTCATTAAAAAAAACTACATTGTAGTTTAATTAATTATTGACTAACTGAATATATAGGTTTGGCGGGACTTCAAATTTTCTTAAAAAATCAGAATTTTATTATCTTTAGCAAATCATTGAGTAAGGAAAAATGATGAAACCTAAAAAAAATTATAAATATGAAACAGTAATTTTTTCTGGAATTTTCCAAAAAACTATATTGTAGTTAATTTAATTAATGGCTAATTGAGTTGACAATTTAGAAGAAATACTTTCAATTTCAACGAATAAAAAATGCTTTCGGGAGATAAAAAGATTAAAGGAAACCGAGAAAAAAAAAGTTTCAAACTTAATTAGTAAAAAACAACGAAACCTGACAAGTAGAAAAGTTTCAAAATGACCAAAAGAAGAAACTTAAAGGGTGGTATTAATCGAATCAAATCAACAAAATCGAGGGGGAGAAAAAACGAAAAAAACGATGACTGACTGGTCATTCATTTTCTCTTTTTTCTTATCAATTTTCTTCTGCTTCTCTAACTCTTTCAAGATTTGTGTACTATTTCGTTTTTTCCCTTAAAGAGACAAGAATTGAATAAAAAGTAAGTGATGTTTTGTGACAAGTGGCAACATCAGGAAATTTCAAGACAGTTTGAGAGGGTTGTTTGGAAATTCTCGGAAAAAACTGTTCTAAAACGTTCGGTTGCGGAATGCCCAGTTTAAAAATGTATTTTTCTGAAAAAGGCATGAAACAGATGATTACATTATAATTTTTTCGATATCAACTTTGATCTAATATATCTTGGTTCTTGGAAAAGATATCGAAATTTTGTCAACTGATAAAATGTTTATCATAGTATCACCAACATTTCATCAGTTGAAATTTTCTGATATCTCTTACAGAAAACGAAAAAATTAGGTTCAAGGGATCGATCTTTTTGAGGAGTTTGAGAGATTTTAAAAGCAAAAATTCGGTTTTTATATTTTTAACGTGATGAAAAAAATTGAAAAAAAATTAAAAGTTTTAATCAAAAACGACTACGTGAATTGGTTTAGAAACCTTGACCTTTGATAGAATACTTTAAAGAAGGATTAAAAAGAAGGGAAAAATTAGTTCTCACTTTCTATGGACTCCAGTTAGAGGAGTCGGGTTAGGGAACCGGGATCCGGACTAGGTCCCTGGGTCCCCACTGGGTCTTATAGTTATTCTTGGGATTTTCTGATTTGTGCATGAATTCAGTATTAACCATACTTGTAACGGGCCGGGCCGGGCTTTTTCCCGAATTTCGGAGGCCCGGCCCGGCGGGCCTGTCATTCCACAAGTTTTGAAAATTTCAAAAAACACATAAGGGGGGACCCTTATGTGATTTTTTTTCGATCAAAAAATTGTTTTCGAGTTTTTTTTTTGATATTTTTTGATCAAACAGACAAACAATCCAAAAAGCACAAAAAATATAGAAAATTGTCAAAATTCGGTTCAAAACGACAAAAATTTTTGCTGCCGGGTCCGGGCCTTGAAATTTTTCTCAGGACCGGAATTTTACAAGTATGGTATTAACCGAAAAATTCACTTCTCATTTTTCTCAATTCACTGAAACCGAAATAAAAAAACATGACAAATTGAATTTTATTGAAAAATAACCGAAAACGGAAAAATAGAACTACAAAATTTTACAAAACTTCCTTTTCGGCTTCTTCTCACTTCGAAGTGTTTCTCTGACCGCTTTATCAAAAATCTGAAAACCCTAAAATTTTTCTCTTTCTCTCTGCGTCTTTCTCTTACCTCCTTCACTCCTTCTCTCAATTTCGCGGAGCACTCAAAATAGGCGATTGCTCCGATGCGATGAGCCACCTCCAATCCTTGTTCCCATCGAACAGGCATCTGTCTGCGTCTCTTCAATTCCATCACTATTTCCTCATCATCCCTCAAATCCTTCTTCGTTGCAACGAGTATAATTGGAGTGTTTGGAAGAAAATGTTGGATTTCTGGATGCCATTTTTCCAGAACATTCTCCAGAGAATCAGGATTATCGATTGAGTAACAGATGAGAATGATGTCGGATTCGGGGTAGGCAAGCGGGCGGAGCCTCTCGTAATCTTCTTGACCCGCGGTATCCCAGAGGTCTAGTTGGATCTGGAAATGGTTGAAAATTTGAAATTTGCAAAGATAGTATGAAAAACGATTTTGATTTTTTGATCTAGAAAAAATGAAGAAAATGAAACAGCAACATTTCCGTGGGAAATTTGAAAATTGGAAAACATTTTTTGAGAATTTTCAATTTCTATAAAAATTGGATATTGCTACAAAAAAGAAACTGCGAAACAAAAAAAACCCTCGATTTTAAAGTGGACAAATTAAAACAGTAAATTTTTCTGAATATTCAAAAAAAAATACAAGTTTTTGAAAATGTTCGATTTTTATATGAAATTGAAAAGATTGCACTAAATCGCAAATCAGAACATTTTCACATTTTGTTAAAATTTGAAAACAAATTTTTTCTTTGAAATTTTTCAGTAATTCTACATAATTCAAAAGATGACTGATAAAATTTGCAAGCTCTGAAGTATCAAAAAAATTAATTTTTCAATATAAAAAATGATAACCTAAAACAGAAAAAGTGTTTCGAATTATTGCATAAATTTTCAAAAAATAAAAAACTTCGGAACTTTTCTGTTCATCATCAGAAAATTTAAAAAGTTCCGATATAAAAAGACAAACTGAAACAGAAAAATTTAAGTTGTTTAGTTGAGAGAAAGTATTAAACGAAAAAAATTGCAGAACTTTTTTTTGAATTTGTTGAAGTTTTAGGTCGTCAAAATCAATTTTTAAAAATCAATATTGGAATTTTTTCCAAAAAAAATTCTCGACTCACAAATTTACCATCAATCTCCATATCAACATAATCCGTGTCAAAGACCGTGGGAATGTGAATTTCAGGAAATTCATTTTTACTGAATGTAAAAAGAAGAGACGTTTTCCCACAAGCACCATCCCCAACAATTACTAGCTGCAAAAATATTTAATTAGGGGTACACAACTAAGATACTAATTAAAGTATAATTACCTTCTTTCGAAGCTCCGGGTACTCTTTTCGGGGCATAATTAGAGACGATGGGGCTGAAAAAGAGGTCTGAAAATGAATAATTTGTGGAAAACCAAAAATTTCAGAAAAACGAAAATTTTAAATTTCTGAAAATTTGAAACACATCGAGAAGCACATCGGGTTCAATGAAAAATTTTGATTTTTTCGAAAAAAATCGAAATTTCGAAAACGTGAATTTTTTTTCAAAATTTTAGAATGAGTCAAATCAGGAAGGGTGTGTCCGGGTGGAGACTGATAGTGATAAAAAAATTTCTCGTCAACAACATTTTTTTAGACATTTTGAAATATTATTTTCCAATTTGAAAAGTATTTGGTTTTTTTGTCTGAAATTTTGAAATTTTCAAGATCAACGCAAATTGTTTTTTTTTTTGAAATAATAGTTTTTGTTTTACTCATGTTTTGTAATTAGTTTAATAATTAAAAAATGCTCTATCAAAATTTATAAAAGTTTTGAAACACTGAATTTTTTTGGACAATTTTTTTTTCTAAATATGTCGTCAAACGCGAATTTTAATTACTTTTTATTATCAGTATGGGGTCAGAAATCACACAATTTTTTGTTTTTTATCAGTTTGTGCTGGAAAACTTTTTTTCTTGAAATAAGAAAAATCACTCATACACTGAACAAAAAAAGTCATTTTTTAACTTTTTCAGTAAAAAAACTTCAAGTTTGAAGTTCTACAAGAGTGATTCAGAATTTTTCAGTTTGTCTGAAAATTTCAGTGTATATTAAACAGAAATAGAGCTTCAATTTTGTAGTTGACAACTTTTTAAAAAAATTTCATCTAGGCGAGTTAGTGCGCTGGACACCAATCTAGGTCTGTGTTCAGGGTACTGCTTGCTTCAAGCGGCTTATCTCATTTGGATGAATTTTTATGAAAAAGTTGTCAATTACAAAATTGTAGCTCTATGTTTGTTTAGTGTACTCTGAAAGTTTCAAATAAATTTGAAAATTCTAAACTTATTTTTTAGGATTTTAAATTGGACCATTATTTGTTCCTTTTCTTTTTCGAATAACTGAAAAGTTAATTTATTTAATAAATTCTGTTTCATTTGAGACACAACCCAATAGTTAAACATTTAACAGCAGTTTCTTGCGTATTTTCAGTTCAAGATTTCCGATTTTTAATATTTCTCAATTTTCAGATTTCCGAATTTTCAGATTTCCGAATTTTCAGGTTCTCGAGTTTCCAAATTTTCAAATTTCCTGAATTTCAGATTTTTAAAATTCTGTTTCAAATGAGTCATAACTCAGTATCTGAAGTTTATTAGATGCTTCTTGAATATTCTTGTTATTTTCGGTTTCTGATTTTTTTTTCAAAAGTTTCATTCCCGAATTTTAAGATTTCCGAATTTTCAGACTTCCGAATTTTCAGATTTCCGAATTTTCAGATTTCCAAATTTTCAGAGGCCGTATGCATGAAACGGTTTGTCGGGCAAAAGACGTTTGTCGGGGTTTGTCGACAAACCTCAAAAGTCGACAAACGAGATATTGGTATGCACGAACATTTTGTTTGTCGACAAAGAAGTTTGTCGCCTTAAAAGCGTTTGTCGACCTTTTGAGCAGACAAACGACCGACAAACCGGCGAACCTATTTTTTCAACTATTGTTTTTGGTTTTTTTTCCATTTTTGAACTTTTATTATACGTCATTAAGCTATCAAACCATTTCTAGAAATGGATGAAATTGACCGATTTTTGCTCGATTCTCAATTGGCTGTGACTGTTCCCCGAATTTTTCGGGATCGAACTGATCCTTTTGAAGTACTTTCGGATAGAGAGTTCCGCCGGAAGTTCCGATTCTCCAGAGGAGCGTTCTTCTCGTTGCTCGATATATTCTCGGAGACCATTACTTTGAGAACTCGGCGATCATCATCTCTGACTGCGGCTCAGCGATTTGCTGTCACACTTGAAGTTCTTTCGACGAATTCATTTCAGTCGTCAGTTGGACTAGCTTGCGGCGTAGATCAATCCACCGTATCAAGAACTTTTGACCAATGCTTAAACGCGATTTGCTCCCATGTTTCTCAATTCGTCCAATGGCCCAACGATGCTGAACGGCTCGTACACAATGAAAAGTAACAGTTTACCGTATTTTCTCTATCAAAATGACATTTCCTTATTTTTTTCAACCTATCTCCTCATTAAATTTCAATTTTTAAAACTCAAAAAAGTTTATGAAAATGAATATGCAAACTTTCATTATCCGGCACTATTTCATCATTTCTAATTTTCGATATTGTTTTGAAATGCCCTATTATGTAAGGTTTCCTTCTATTAGAGATGTCTTTCTAATAGAGAGAATACGGTATATTATGTTCAGTAATCACAACCTTAGGTTCAAATCATTAACGAACATCCCGAATGTCATTGGATGTATCGACGGCACGCACATCCGCATTCCAGCTCCGTCACAAAACGAGTATGCCTACGTCAATCGGTGAACGATCTCTAAGATTTTTAGCGAAATTAATCGCTTCCGTACGAATGAAATCTCTCCGTTAATTTTCTTTTTTACCTAAAAATCTATCTTGATGAATTCTTGCCTTATTTTTCAAATTTTCAAAAAAATTTACCTGCTCAGCCGAACGTTTCGCACCTAGCGCATCCAACTTGAGACTCCACTCCGTCCAATATCTTTGTTTGGCTGTGCCACCTTCTTTTCGCGAACCTCCAGCAACCGGTGCGTTGTACTCATCCCAGTTTTCGATGAGCCAACCAATCAAATGACATGAGTTTTCCGCCGACAAATCTTCAATTTTCGATCTCTTTTCCAAATCCATACTAAAATTTACATTTTGTTGTTTCAGATTTCAGATTTCAGATTTCAGATTTCAGATTTCAGATTTCAGATTTCACAATAACATTCAAAATTTTCACTTCCTCGAAATTTCTGCTAATCGAGATTTCGCCCTTCAAATTTCCGCTGTTTCAGAATGTTTTCAAAAGTTGTATTTTCTCAAATTTCTGCTAATCTATCTCCCCCAGGATCTTCGTATACATTAAACTAAAAGTGTTCGTTTTCCATTCGGTTTGTCAGTTGGTCCATCCAGCATTATACGAAATCTCTGCGTTTATATTCCTGGACAATGAGTATATTTAGTGTAATGTTATTTAAATGCTGCCCGTTTCATTTAGTGTGTATGTGTGAAAATTCTCTGATTTTCTGATTCGAGAACTTTCTTTCTGTTTCAAGACATTTTGATATTTTGATCAGAATGTTTAAATTTAGTTGAAATTGCAAAATTAGAAATTCGACCTAATTTTCCAATTTTCGTTCTGAACCTTTTTTGCTTTTCGCTTCTAATTTTGCTAATTTCCAGAACTATGACTGTCACCAAAACTGAAAAACGCTCGATTATCTCAAATCCATCTGAAATTCAAAAATCTGAAACTGTGAAAACCGTCGTGGAGGAGAATCGAGCCACCACCATCAGAACTACAGTAATCCAAGGACCAGAATCGCCAACTGGAGTTTTTAGTGTCAAACAGAAGACCGTGATGAGTGTTCATAATACGGTAGGTGATGTTTTTTGATTTTGAGAATTAGGAAAGTTAGAAACAAACGAAAGAGTCAAATTATCGAAAATTATGGTAGTTCCATTTTTTGGAATTGTTGAAACGAAAAATTTTTGATTTTTTGAGAAAATTTTTGATTGTTTAGAATGAAAAAGTCAAATTTGAATTTAAACTTTTTGGGAGATGTTTGAAAATTGACTATTGCACGCTCTCCCACAGAACACTTCCGAACTGCAAATTAATTTTCGATCTACAGAATAAAAAGTTTGGCGCGATCACAATTGCAGGTCTAAAACCATAATTTCAGAATTTTTTATCTGATTTTGTGGAGTTCCAAGATGATTTAAATGATTCTTAAAAAATTAATTAGTGGTTATAGATTCATGTATGGTCGTTTTCCGGAAGAAAAAAATGTCAAAAATTTTGAAAGTTTTTTACAGAAAAAATGTCTCTTCTCTTT